GTCGGGGATGTTAAACAGATCGATTTATTTTTTTTTATTGGATATACATAAATAAATGTTTTTAACGCAGATTCGCATAAAAATACGTAACTTGTCTCGGAAACTTTTCTCTGAAATGAAGTTCCGGTTAAAAAAATGGACTTCCAATCTATTTAACCCACTTCGGGTGAAACCGGAAGTTGGTAACACGACCAAAAGCCAGAGCATCTCCGACTTGGCAGTTCCTCGATTTCAGAAGGTCTAGGACACCCTGTATATGGACGATTCTATCCAAATTGTCATATTTCGACTTAACTTAAAATTTTAAAATTTGAAGCTGCTTAGAAAATTATTTTCTTCGGACATTTGTACAACAATCCTACCCGTTCGCAAGTGCATTTATTGAATTGGAAAGCTTTTATTATAAACAAGTTTTTAATTCCTTCAGTTCGACATTTAAATTATTTCGGGATCGCGGAACTAATACAAGCTAATCCCGAAATTTTTGGTATCTGAAAAATACCAAGATCTCGGGATCGACAGCGCTAATAATTGCATAAATATGTATACTAGCCTTTGAGCGTTATTTCCTCAAATACTATGAAAATAATTTATGCAACCTCACATACGCGGTTTTGAATTTTGTTGATACGCGGTTTTGTACTTTAAACGACGATATATAGAGATTTTTTTCTAATTTATGTTTTTTATTTTACAATTTCAAAAAACACAGAACGTTCTAGCAGATGTGTATTTTAGTTACCAAAATGATTTGGTGAAAGGAAATATAGTTGCCATTCCCAATGACAACAACACAAATGCCATTAATGGCTTCGATCTATTTGAAGTACAGATATCAATTTATGGGTTCAATGAGACCATGCTCAATATAAATCCATCGTATATACTGAATAAAGATCAGCAATTCCAAGGCATACTTGCACCAGAATTCGATTATGATATCGACGAGAATGAAACGGAAGCGAGCAATGAAAGCGAAGAAATGACGGATGTGGATGTGGATGACGATATGGAATATTTTGGCGATTTCGGGGATGCTGATAAAATAATTGAGCAGGGAACACGTCAAAAAGGTAAGGTTTTGGTAGAATGATCTACATTTTGCCAACAACACATACATATGTATGCACGTAACCAAAAATTTTTTGGCAGGTGATTATTTACTGTATGAGACTTATCAGACTTCACACACTTCCACTGAGGAACCATCAAATCATACCGTTACATTTTACTATATCGACAGTAGTTTCATAACGTACGTGCGGTTTATAATATTTGATGTAAGTTTCACTTGTAAAGCCACTTTATGTTATGTGTATGTATAAAAGTTCATATGTAGATATGTACATACATATGTATATTAGACTGCATCACTCCCCATAAAAAAAAAAATCGGTACTGTTTTTCTATTGGAAATATAAAATCTATTATAATTTGAGACTTGCACCAAAATATTTCGCAAATATATTAAGATTTACGTGAGCTCGAAAAATTGAGTTTGTTATAAATAAAAATATTTTTTTAAAAAGATGTTTTGAAAAAAAAATCAACTCAGACGACGCAACTGTCTAAAATTAAAAAACAAGTTCTTAAAAATATTTTAAATTGCTCAGCGGAATCATAGTAATGAGATTTTTAGGCTTTATTTCTTTGCAAATAAACTCATACACGGCCCAATTTTATCTGTTTATTTAACAGCGAGAAGAATCTCATTATGATTCCGTTGAATTTTTTTTTTAAATATTTTTATGCTGATTTTTCAAGCTTAAACTGTTTTGTCATTTGGGAGGGGGGGATTTTTTCAAAAAATCCTTTAAGAAACAATACTTTTTAATAAAAATTCCATTTCTGGAGGAATTTTTTAATCGGTCCACCTCACTAACGTAGATATAATATATAAATTTTGTAATCCCAGCGAAAAAACCGCAACTTTTTTTTTTTGTGATGCAATCTAATGTACACACATATGCATGTATGTATGTGCAACATATGCTAATCATTATTTTTTATATGCAATTGCAATTAAATATTTGCAGCATACTATTGACAGAACGTCGAGCGAATACAATCCACCTGTAGCGGAGTATTCTCACTTCTCTCCGAATAGTCTTAAAGCCGTCATTAAGGACGACAATACCACTAACTTATTCGTGCAGATGTTAATCTATGGTTATCAGCCAGACGATGTTCCAGCGGACTACGCACCATTCTTAACGATCCGCTATAACACTGAGACGGAAGCGCCGTCGGGTGCTTTGCAGCGCTTGAAAGCTTTAATGAATACCAAGTCACACGAGAATTACGGAGACTTGGAAGAAATAAATTTTGAAACTGGTGAAAGAAACGAACTGTCTACTAACAACACCACAACAGATGCATCAGCCAGAATGCTTTTGGGTGGATTTACAGTATTCAACGTAATTATTATACAACTCTTATTTTTTTGAACTTGTTTTAATTAATGAAGAGGCAAGTCTTTGGTTAAAGTACTTAAAATGGTTACTTGTATTATTATTGTTCTTAAAAGAAAAAAAAAAATATTACGTCCATTATATTATGTTACTAAAAAGAAATTTCTTCGCATAAAATAATGCCGCAGAAATGATAATAAGCTTTTGTTTTCACAAGTCTTCGGGAAAAATATGAACAAGATACGAGTGCACTGGCGGCTTGAAAGCGGCACTGGCGGCTTGAAAGCGGCACTGGCGGCTTGAAAGCGGCACTGGAGCTGAATGGCATCTGGACGGTAACTTCAGTTGGTTTACTTCACTCTTTCAATCAGAAGTCTTTGGTGGCGCGGGCATAAAATCAGGATCTGCAGTGATAGCTAAGCTGCTCTAAAGGCATTGGATACCGCGCGCACCTCTTCCAAGATAGTCCAGGAATGTAAGTTGGAGCTGAGCTGCGTTACAAGATGAAATGATCCTGAACTTGTGTGGGTGCCAGGATATTACGGTGTTCATGATAACGAACTGGCTGATGAACTGGCGAGCTACGGTATTCTGGAGCTTCCAATTGGACCGGAGATAATTTTAGGGCCAAGTATAGCGGGAACGATCGGGTACATCAAGGATCTTATAAACAAAACTCATTCGAGTCGTTGGTGTACTATTGAAACCTGCAAAATAACCTGTTACCTGAAAAGGGGCTGGCGGGGAGGTAGCAATATTCCTTCTCAGAAAAAAAGGAGTCATCTACGAGCCCTGATAGGAATGATTACGGCGCACAAGCCATAGGGACGAAATATGGTCACCATAGGGATCCACTGTGTACATCGTGTTTAAAGGATGAGGATAGTACAGAAAATTTTCTCGACCGCCGTCTGGCCTTCGCCAGACTCAGATGGTGTATTTTTGGGTCGAATGTGTTGAGAGAATGGACGAGATACATTCTCTTTCCTTCAACAAAATGCTAAAATTCATAAATGAGTTCAGTGTTTTTTATTCGATTCATTAATTTTTTAGAATAGCGATTGTCCTGTTCCTGTGAATAAATCTTACATAATAAAAACAAGTTGAAAATCATTGTGGTGTTCTTCCGCAACAAAAAACTGCAATGGTAAAAGTTTAAATTTATAAAAAAAGTTTTCACCAAAATTAATTTTTTTTTCAGAATTTCTAGAAAACTTTAGGTATGCAGTTTTATAGTCCATTAAATTTTAGTGCTGCATGTTTTAATTGGCTGATAATTTGTGTTGACTTTTTTATCTCAAATTTCGAGCGCAAATGCCTAGCACCATCAGAAAAATAAAATTAGGAATCAACGCGAACCCTTAGCCAAGTTAAACTTCCATTTTATCATACTAAATTTACTATGCTATAAAACTGCACATCTAAAATGTTTTGGTAAAGCTCTAGTGAAAATTTGTTTATAAATTAAAAGTTTTACTTTTGGCATTTTTTTTTTCGTTTTGGAGGGACACTATAATTTTTTTCAACTGGTTTATTTGCAAGAACAGGGGAGTAAATTTTCTTCAAAATTGCAAGTTTCTCTGCACTCTGCATTAAACAATTTAAGATAAACAAATAAAAATTAAAAAATCGGGCTCGTTTAAAATCCCAAATTTCCTACAAATGCATTAGAATTTATAAAAGGAATTTCACTACTAATTTGCTACTTTGTGTACTTTTCTAGTACCTTTTCTAATAAAATTCGTAAATGCAACCTTTTGTAAGAGAGTGTCAAACCGCGGATGTCAATAATTATATAAGCTTTAATTATTGAATCATGGTACTATAGCATGGCGCAATAAACAGGTGAAGTAACAAAATAGCTTTCTCGTTTTATTTTCTGACATTCGGCTGCTTTATAGTCAAAATTTAAGGCAATTTTTCAAATAAATCTTTCTTCTCGCTCTAGTTACTTCACCTGGTATAATTCCGCTATGGTACTATAGTGTGTTTCCAAGAATGATGCGCCGTCCTGGCCGAATTGGATGTTAAAAGAAAATGTCAGAACATCAAATTTTGTTAAATTGTAAAAATATATAATTTACATACAAATTAATAAGGAAAATGTGAAAAATTGTGTGGTTTTTCTTGCAGGTATTAGTGAATTTCAGTGCGTTTAATGTTTCTGAGGAGTCGTTTACATGTAGACCAAAACTGTCAAAATCGAAAAAACCAAAGTAGCGGTATGTCTGACCACACCATCTTTGTTCGCTGCATTGTGGTATGTTTCACAAATCGCATACGCCACTTAGCAAAATTTTCTTGGTACCCTTGAAGTAGCCTTATAGCCCAGTTATGCATACTTAGCTTTGCATGAGAGTTGTCACATAAGAATCTGTCAAACGGAATTTGCGTGTAAGCGGTTACCCAACGCATAGCACTTAACATGTAGAATTGTTGGGTTTTTACTTTTACGTAAAAATGGTATAGCAGTGCAAGTATGCATAACTGGTTAATCTGCTTTTATGTATTTAGACTTTTGGAATTCACGATGCGTTTCAGTTTATTAAATTTATTCATTAGGTTAGTTTATGCTTCGTTTTTACTTACCTCTGGTATGTCATCAGGAACTTTGCCCATCCATGAGAGCGATAGGATTGTGCAATCACATTTTGTATTCACATTGCGCTCGAAATGCAGATGCATTCTGCCAAACAAGTATGATGGTTATACTTTGAGCTCGTTAATGGTAAGTATTCAATCATACATATACGGCGAGCATTGACGATTTTAAAACTGAAATTAAAAGAAAAAAGTTTTACGAAACTTTTTACTGACTGAATGAAAAGTAGAAGTTTACAAAAAAATTGTTTAATTTTTTTTTTATTGTACGCAGATATTATGTATGTAGTGTTTTTCAGACTTCGTAGTCAGTAGCCCAGTAAAAAATGGATTTTATAGTTCGGAACTTTTGACGCATTTTACTTCTATTTTACACAGTCTTGCCCTCGAATTTGATACGTAAACATTTCGCCATCTACCGATTTCTAGAAAATCGAGTTCCAAATGTTTTTGTACTTATGTTGATTGCAGTTAATGTGGATCTGTTTTTCATTTAGTAATCTAAATATGTATGTACGTACGTATGAATGCTTAATACGCGAAAACTTTCACTCGTCATATCAGATCTGTACCGTTCGTTCGATTTTACAAAATGAGGTATCAAATTAAAGGGCTTGACCTGTGGATATGCAATGAATTCTTATTTTTTCAAAAAAAGAGTTGCCACCTGAGACAAAAAAAATAAAATCAAATTATTTTTAAATTAAATCAATTATTACACCATGAGTATCGATCGAAATGTTTTTGAAAAGGCTTTATATCTTAATTATATGTGTGAGGGTTGCCGCTTGTTTCAAAAGGCAAGTTCTATTCAAACAAAGGCAGAAAATTGAAATGTATATCGTGATATGGATGTCAAACGAAAGAGGTTTTGGTTTGAAAATATTATGCAGAGGGTTGCCACCTTGTTACAAAGTTAGATTCAATAGCAATAGGTTAAATAAATTATTTCAATATGAATATAAATCAAATTTGCTTTGAAGAACCCTTTTTTTTTGGTCCAACATTTTCACCAACAATTCACGTTTACGATTTTCATTGGCGGATTCATCTGCTAAGATTATGGTTTGGTGGTAATTTTCCGCTTTAAATAACCTAAGGTAAGTGTTATATCCGTGAAGAAGTTCTTGAAATTCTCCAACTGTGCAGCATTTCAAAGCGCGGTTATTCGCAAAACGAAATAAATTTGAAGAATTTTTTTCCTCTTCACTCCCTGGCGGCAACAATGACCCGGTTCTATAGTGAATCTGTCCAAGAAGCTTTGCAGTATAGTCGGTGGCAATTTCAAAATGGGTGCGAATCATTGCTCTACAGAAATGCAATATACATATCGTCGATGTTTTTGCAAAACCGCCCAACGCCCAATTGCGAACTGCCTATCTTACGGCACTCAAATTTTACAGGAGAGTGAAAAAAGGTTTATTCTTTGAAGGCATTGCCTTGATAGGCGGTATTTTCTCTGGCTATTATTTTACAAATCTGTTGTTTTAATAACGATTTAACGATTTGCATGCATAAATCTCGATGCCCGGAGTTCAAGATTACCAAAGCTCATTTTTGCCACAACGGCGATTTAGGCGGTTTTGCAACTGGTTGATGGGTGGTTTTGCAAAAACATCGACGATATACTTAAGTATTTCATACGAAATACCTTAAAAGCTTGAACGCATAATAATATTGGAAAATTACATTCATTGGGCTAATTGTAACACAGGAGAGTTCGATACACTCAATGGTGCAACAGGTCGATTTAATCTGACCTTCACGGCATCTTTTCTCACTTGGCTATTTTTTAGTAATAACTCGACTCCAGCGCCAACTGGTGGATTAAATTGTGAAACTAAACCATCCAGAGACTCACTCAAACGCACACAAAAAATTTCGTTAAAACAGAGGACTTCACTCACAAACACACCTAAAGAAGAATTGTAAATACATACATTCAAAGAGATCTAAAAGTCGGTACATTTGTAGGCCTTACGCCCCCTTTTCAAATAGCCCCAATTTTTCTCCAAGTGTATGGGCTTGATTTCATATACATACATACATATCTCCATACGAAGTTCCAGTACTGTACCATGAATACTTTCAGAGATATGCAGTATTAAAAATTCGCTTTGTATGGGAGGTGCCACGCCCCCTTTTTCCAATAGCTCCCATTTTTCTTCATATCTCCATACCAAGTTCCAGAACTCTACCATGAACACTTCCAGAGATACATATTTCATTGCTGGATATTCTTTTCCATTGTGTTGTTTTTTTATTTTATTTTATCCTTTTTATATACAAATACGCAAATTGAGATCGAACATTACTTGCAATTTGGAGAATGAAAATTGACTTTCTGACTTAATGTTTTTTTACCGATATGATGGACCATTTGCAAAACTTGAATTTGTCTCTACAAGGAGAGAATAAAAATGTTTTTGATTTGTGGAAAATTATTTTAAGTTTTGAGGCAAAACTACGTTTTTTTATAGGGGCGTGGCGCAAAAGTAAATCCCTTTCATAAAAAAATATTGCCATTGAGCCACAATTACCTTAAAAAAATTGGTCAAAAGTAGTGTTCTTCGAAAAAAAGATGCGAAATCCAACGAATATATTCAAAAAAAAAAAAACATTTTTTGTATCTTTTATTATACTAATATTATAGATTTTGGGACGAGAAACACGATTTCATTGTTTAAAAAACGAAAAAAATTTCAACCCCTCAATAAAATAAAGTAAAAATAAGTGTAAATAACCAAAAATGTATCCCTGCAAGCGATTGGTGCAAGCTTTGTGGTAACCGGTGGATTTGAATAAGAAATGTAAAAGTTACACTTGAGGCGATCACCGTAACCACTCTTAAAAGATATGTATCTGTGCGGTTGCGTGCCTTCCTTTACAGCGCCTTAGGCGACATATAGCGTCTGCCCCTTTTCCCCGATATCTGTCCACTAATGTTGGCGAATGTACTTTCAACCAACCTAGTGTTTGATTACTTAGAAGAAATTGAAGCCGTTTACTTCTACTTGCTGACGTCAATAACTATGAACTTTGCCTTGCTCCGTATGTCTGATGTATTAGCTTTAACCCAGTTTTTTTTTTGTTTTTGTATATTGAACAAAGTCGCTCCTGAGCCAAAGCGGTTTGGCTGGCGCGAATTTAGCGACAAAGTTTTTCCATCCACAAAACCAGCAGTTCGGAATGTCACTTTTATAAAACCACACATTTCAATTCAAAGAAATGTATACTTACATACATATGTATGCACCTACATTATATGTACTAGCTAAATAGAAATTCTATTTTCCGTTCACGATACTTTTTTTTTTTTTTTGTTTCTCTTTGTCCGCAACTCTTCATAACAGAGAAGCCAACTGGAAAATTGCATCACTTAAACGACGGCGATCGAACTTATTCCTCCAGTTGTGTTAACAAAAACCAAATATTATATAAGTAACAGCACGCACATATGTGCATGCATACATACAGATACAGTTAGTTTTTTTTTCGGTTTTTTTTTTTACAAAAACTGTGACATTGAATAGGCAAGCATACACTGCAAAGTATGTATTTAGTTACGTATACGCAACGTACTTATTTATGTAATTATTCACTAGTGTTTGCAAAGGATTAGTTCGTGTTATAACAAAACAAGGTGTAGCACATTTGTTAGGTACACAAAGATGTTAAAAAAAAAAAACTTAACCAGCTCTAGTAATATACTTTTGTATGTACTTACTTGTTTGTACTTATGTACGTATAAATGTATGTATAAATGTATACATATGCATACATTTGCTTGTAGGGTAAGAGTCTCTTAGTAGCAGCTTATTATGCATAAACAGTCACAAGAGTAGACTTTCTTACAGCCAAAAGCAGACTTACCTCTTGTTTTAGTTGAAGTTTGAGTTTAGAAGATTTTGGAATTTTTTCCTCAATTTGTGCTACTATGCATTTTTAAGGCATATGAAGTTTGCAGATCGACTTTAAATGAAGAAAATTCAATAACGAAATGATTTTAAATGTACTTTAAGCATACATAAATGAATATCGTCGTTTAAGGTAGAAAACCGCATACTAACAAAATGCAAAACCGCGTATTTCAAAATGGTTCTGTTTTTTATAAAGCAATCACATTTCTGGCTAGTATATTTCAGGACGAATGGATAAGGATTGAGCCAAGAGCGTGTGTGAGCAAATCTAATTTTTGGCAGCAAATGTTAGTTACGCGGTTTTGTTTTTTAAACGACGATATGTACATATGTATGTATGTGTATGCACACGCACCGCTTTATATTTGCACAGAACTCGACACTCAAAATCCGTTGTAAAAAGGATGACGGCTCCGTTTAGGCTTGTCCACACGAGGGCAAACTTTAAAAGACACTGACATCGTTGCTATTTTATTTGAACCCATTTAATCCACCACACCTACTACAAATACATATGTATGTACATACATAAATATGTTATGTAGAAATGCCATTGCTGTTACTACTATCTAGAGGGGTGAGAGCACGCCTGCGCAATATAAATATAAACACAAACGTCAATGTTTGCAGGAAATGCTATGTTGTAGTTTCCTATTTACAAAGATATGTCGCTATTTCTTATCACTGTTGCATTGGTAAAGTGTCAAGTGTTGGTATTTTCACATTATAATTTTTTCCCGCTGCTGCTGTTGCAGGATTTTTGAAAAATCGATTTTCGCTTGGCTGTAGGTTTTGAAGAATATTTTCTTTTTTTTATATAAAAAGATGTAGGCATTCTGAAGGAACGATAAGAATTTAGAATTGAAGATTGACAAAGAAATGTGCAATTTTTGTAGGTATTCACTTTTACCTACATATTTATTTATTTATACTAGTGTTTCACTTGTATGTAATTCTAGAACTTCTAGGTGTACAGTGAAAATTTCTTTTAAGCTACTGGTTATTGTATGCACTACCACTATATTTATTTGTGTTTCGTATAATTTGTCTGTTGAAGTTTAACTACTAAATTATTGCACACACTACTAGGTACTAGGTAAATTTGTTTATTACAACCGGTTGCTAAAACCGAACCGCTGCACTTCTTTTGGCTATCATTCCGATACTGCTGTTTGCAAGCTTTTCCCAGTTAAGGAAAGGGTAAATGTTAAACTTGTTTACTGAGCTTTTTGTGCAATAAAACCATTGTGTATGCAACACTTTAGTGTTAAAATGCAGCATGTAAAAATTTTAAGCGGGCTGTCCATAGTTTCATCTTGTATTCGTTTTTATATTTATTAATACACATACATATACTAATTTACTACATATTTATATGTAAATAAACGTATAAAAAGAAAGTAATGAGTTAAAAATCCTTTTCAATCCGAACTCGGGTACCTAAATTGTCAATATTGTGACTTGATTATTATTTTGTTGAAAACTTACAACATGATTTTCTATGACCAAATAGTGACACATTAGGGCTGTTGTGCAAATGGTCTTGGATTTGCAGTTGGAGTTGCATTTGAAAATTTTATACTTGTTGCCATGGCAACCATGTGCATTTTATTGTTGTGAATTTACAAATGCAACAGCATATGCATAAGATCCTGAACAGCCCTAATATTTAAAAATCTCGCATATTTTCAGCTATTGATTTTAAACTAGCTTTTGCCCGCAGCTCCGCCCGCGTAAAGTTCGGTTTAACATGGACACTATCCGTATAAACTTTATCCGATTAAGTCAGCTTATATTCCAGTAACATCTTCCAATGAAGTTTTACACTATTTAAAAACTGTAAAGGAGTCACTGAAACTGATCATATTCTGACTCGTTTCCTCAAAAACTACGCTGAGAACATCTGCGGACAAACAAGGCGTTTTTCCGTCAGCATGAAAGGAATCTTTTATAGTACCACTTCACAAAACCGGCAGCAGGTCTTCTATAGAAAACTATCGATGCGTAGCGAAACTTTACGCTATTCCAAAATTATTTGAAGCAGTTATTGTTAATCAGATGACATATTCTATATCTTCTTCAATTTCACAATATTAACACGAGTTTTCTAAAGGAAAATCTTCTTTGTATGTATCACTAATTTATTGGAGTTCACAACTCAGGGAAGCCACCTTGACCGGATTCTGTGTCCGATATTCATGAATGATATTTCTTCTATAATAAAATATTCAAATGCCGATGTGGTGCAACTTTTTAAAACATATTCTTCTATCGAAGAACCTGAAATATGTCAACTATAATTAAATTATTTTCTTCCTACTTTTTATAGTACAATTTAAGGAAGTTCCAACGTTATGTAAAAACCTTAAAAAAATCCTAAAGTATTTTGTTTGCGTAAAATAATATTACACAAATAGAATACATGAGGAATATTACCGAACACCGAGTACCAAGCTTGGTAGGGAGACCCCTATTAGTACAAATTTTGAAAAATCAGGACATTAGCATACTGACTTGAAGAAAATAATAAAATCAGTACGATAGTTGAATAATCAGTACTGTACTGATAAAATCAGTACGTCTGGCAACCGTAAATGTAATCTAGGAGGTCCGGAAGGCCGAGTTTCCGATCCACCTAGTCCCGATACCTTGGTGGTTGGAAAGGCCTAGATTCCAATCCACGCTGTTGCTCATACATCTATATCTTATAGACTGCGTTCTACAATAGTCATATAGCCGAGAAAGCCCCGGATAAGTACCATGAACCTAATACACGTTCCCAAAAACATATTTCATCATCTTCTTGTTGCTTGGCGCTGAATTCCAATAAATTGGCGATGGCAACGGAAAAATTACTGACTTTATATTTGAAAAAAGTGGCTGAACCTCACGTCGGGCATTAAACCAAGTCGCTTAGTTTACGATGGTGAAAGTATTGAACAGATATTGATATGAAATGTGGAACTCAAATTCTTTTTAAATGAATATACTATCCTGCTTAGTTAAATTGTTGACAAATCATTTTTCCACAACACACTGAATTAAAACTTTTTGAACTGATGACTTGTTAACCCGTAGCTAGAGACGTGGAATCTACCAGACCTTTCTGAAGCTTTCAGCTATTATATTTTTTAATGGATGCAGTGTATCTTGAAATTTGCAGTACCTTCAAATTTAACAAAACAACACTAAAGCATTTTTAAAGTTTTGCAACTTACACAACTTTGCCTAAAAATGCAACCCTTATGATAAGACTGCTAAAAATTGTTTGTTTGATGGTAACACACCCTAAGCCAAGATTTTGAGTGTCTCTTCAATATTCTATTGTCTGCTTGACTACACCTTTTCCAATAGTGTTTCAGAAAAACACAAATGAATTTCAGAAAAGAACAACCGTATTCTAAAAATATTTTTCTGAAATACATTTGAAGGGGTTAGAATCATAAGGGTCTAAGTGACATATTTTGAATATATAAGTTATACCCATATTTGCAAATTTAAATATAGTATTTATTTGGTGACAAAGAGTAAACTTTCTTTGAATTAGTTAATTAACCTGCATTCATTTATTTCAAATGAATTTACCCAGAATTTACAGTAAGTAATCAACTAAATCTTAAAAAAATGTCAGGCCTACTTATATTAACATAATTTTAAGCAATTAATTTGAAACACTACCAGAATTAAAATTAATAATTGAATAATACAGCTGGGATCGAAGCTCTTCAGAAATGAACAAGTAATTTTTAAGCAAAAACACAATCCGACTTCAATTATCATATAAAAATTTAAGACTACGTTGATTTCTTCATGATCGAATGATCAAATCTAAACCAAATTAGTATGGGACTATCACATTTCCTTAAACAAAAAAAAGAGAATTATGGAGATCGGTTAAAGTGGTCCAAAGTTATGCGTTAAATAAAATAACTATATATACAGTATACTATTGCGAAGCTTTAGTTTCACCAAGTTTAGCTGACTAAATAAAGTTCCAGGTCTGCATTTCATCAAGGCAGTGAAAGTAAATGAAGTGCAAATTCCGCCAGATCGGAAAACAATTTGTTGCCACCTGCACCGGTGTAAGTTTGAACTTCTGCCCAAAATTTCATTATATTAATTAAAATGTTTTGCCCGCTGAAAACATCCTGAACATCAATGCATAATAGGCGGAACATTTTTTGTCTTATCAAATCTGCACCGTCCGTTCGATTTTACAAAATGAGGTATCAAATTAAAGGGCTTGGCCTTTAGATGTGCAATAACGTTTTATTTTTTTTTTTAAGAGTTGCCATGTAGGAGGGTTGCCACCTGTTTACAAAGCTAAATTGAATAAATGTATGCAATAGGTTAAATAAATTACTTCAATATGTATATCAATCAAAATTGCTTTGAAGAATCTTTATTTCCAAACCACATATAAGAGGTTTGCCACCTGATTTAAAAATTAAATTCAACTTGAATTAACGGAACTAATAATTTAAATATGTATCACAATACGAGTGAGACGAAAAAGGCTTTACAAGGTTAGGTTACCACCTGTTTACAAAGTTAAATTGGATGTATACGATAGGTTAAATGAATTACTACAATATGGATATCAATCAAAAAGGTTTTGAACGAACTTTATTTCTAAACTGCATGTAGAAGCGTCGCAACCCATTTACATAGTCAAGTTCAACTTAAATTAAGGCTATTAGTAAATTTAAATATGTATCCAAATATGATTGTCAGACGAAAAAGGTTGTCGTTTGAAAAATTTTTGAATTAAGTTGCCACCTCTTCACAAAGTTACAATCAAAATGGGCTTGAAAGACCTTTGTTTCTAAACTGCGTGTAGAGCGTTGCCACCTGTTTAAAAAATCAAGTTCAATTTAAATTAAAGCATTTAGAAACTTGAAATATGTATCTCGATATAAGTGCCAGACGAAAGAGGATGTGGTTTGAAAATATTTTGAATTCCATGGGTGCAATAGGTAAATGAATTACTATGTGGATATTTAAATGGCTTTGAGAGATTTAATTTCTAGACTACATGCAGGAGGGTTGCCAGCATTTTAAAATTTAAATTCAACTTGAATGACGTCTTATATGTTTAGGATTTGGGGCTGTGGCTTCCTTTTTTTTACCTCTCTTTTATTAGCTCGGGATGTAACTTTGTAATATTGATGCGCCTAAAAGATGCAGCGATTTCTATTCTCAAGTTACATACCTGATGACAGTACGAATGGCAATTATAATAGGGAGGTTTTAGTTTTTTAAACTATAATTTTATTTTTATAGTACTTGCTTCTCTACAAGTAGTTAATTACAATGTCAATGTTAGTATTAGGGTTCGGAATCTCATGCAAATGCATGCTTTTATGGGGCATCTTTAAATGGAAATGGGTAAGTTATCTTTAGTGCATATTTTGCAGTAAATGCATGGTTTTGCATACTTTGCCAAAAATACCGGTTTTTGCATAATTCTCCTTTTTTGGATTTGAAACTATTTAAATTTAGTGCGACATCTCCTGACCAAAAAAATACCTAACATTTTTTCTCAAAAATCATCTAAATATCTTCTCGGATAGCCACGCGGTATTTAAGGCACTCTCTTCTACCTGTGTTAGATCTCAACTAGTGGAGGGCTGTAGGAGAGAGCTTGCCTATATCTCCGATCAATACGAAGTTACCCCCGGTCCCGGGATAAAGGAACGTTTAAGGAAACGAGCGCCACACTCAGATAGATAAAATCGACATTTATCACTCGAAGGCCAAGAAGAGGTGGAACCGTACAGGATCACACAGGTTTACCAGGGTGTCCGGCGACCATTTTTAATTGCTTGTCGCCAGGGTGACAATCCACTTAAACCAGCCAACCATTCATCTGAACCACTATTAAACTGTCAATGTTTCAATTTACACAAGATCGTAACTGCCTGCTTATTTATAAACTAATTTTATACATAAATATTTATTTAGGGGATTCACAAGACGTGTTAACCGTCGTAAAATCTTAAGCTTAAAATTTTGTATGTAAAATAACGATTGAAATGGTTTTACGGGGCGCTAATTCTATGTTTTTAAACTGTAGTTGGAAACCCTTTAAAACCATTTTAATCATTACTTTACACGGAAAATGTTAAGCTTATGATTTTGAGACGGTTAGCAAGTCTTGTGAAAGCCCTTAATGTATTTTGAAGTGTTATTTATTTCTGTACCGGCAATCAAATATAAGACAAATATTTGTAATTGCATATTTTACTTGTTTATATCGCATATTTTTGAATTTCGAGTGCATATTATATGCGGATATTTTAGATTTTTTAGTGCCTGAGATTCCGAGCCCTAGTCATTATACATTTTTGGTCGTTCTTTATGAAATGTTTATTATCTTGACTTCATATGCCACCAAGTGGAAAAGTATTCATGTTTACTCTTTCGATGTCTTTCTGAGAAATAAGCTTCTTCGACTTGCGTTGACTTATGCTCTAATTACTTCTTCTACTTTTATTGCATAAAATTCAAAAGTTTAATAAAACGTTTATTTTGATATTTTTAATTAACGCATATATGTATGATGTACATATGTATGCATAGATAAAAGAAAAAATTTACATTTACCAAGTGTTTATTTTCAACTAAGTGTTTCATAATGCTGTCCACTACTTTCTGTTGCATGATCTTGCACCATGCCAGCTACTGGCTGATTTATAATATACGCATTGCTGACGGCTCCAGTATCGGACGACACAACCACTGCTGCGGAGCTACCTCCACAAGCATTTGCGTCATTTTCGGTAAGAGCTCGTAATTCTAACTCACATATCAATTGTGAAACGCGCATTTTCGCTTCGGCAATTAATTTCGGTGATAAAGCTTTGACACTGGAACTAACGCTTTCAAAGAATAGATCAACGTGATTTTTGTCCTTAGGAGGCGATTGTTGATTCGGTACACCCATTAGATCTCTAAAAGAGTCCATTAGATCGTTCTTATCCTTTTGAATTTGCATCAAGAGCTTCATTCTTTCTTTTTTAACTCCAACTTTCTTGGGACTACTAGCCCGCGATTTTTCTTGCTTCAATGTTGAACTTGTCGGCAGAGGGTCACCGTGGTCATCAGTAGATATGGCTTCCTGTTTTAAAACAGTTTCATCATTATACTCTTCCCCTGGTGCAGATTCGGTTTGAACAAATTGAAATGCTGTTTCACTTTCAGGTTCACCTCTATGGAAATAAAATGGGATATTAGATATATTAGAAGATATTACTGTTTAGTTATTTGACAGCTCAGCTCGGAAATTTGCAAAAAATATCATGTTTTAAAACAAAATTATTAATAAATTAGTGCACAAATATAGTATTTTTTTTATATAAAGCGTATACGCTTGTATACAAGAGTTTGTAAAAGTTTTTTTTGATTCGGGTCACGAGTTTGGGTACAGCCACCGAAAATCGTCGTACAAATAACTAAACCGTAACAAATATTAAAGTCTCAATTAAGCCAGCACATGAAGTGTCCGGTGGGCTCTTTTGTTGGAGCTTACCCATCAATGAACTCGTCTCCCGTATCAGCGCCGAGCTCTGAAGCATCTTGTGATGACGCAAAAGATGAACTGAACTTCTTACGTTGTTGATAGTATTTGCTGCGCTCCTGACGAATACTTAAGTTTTGGCGCGCTGCACCTTCGCCTTTACTCACGAGTATTTCCAAATTGCGTACATGCTTTGTAGTGCGTTCATGTCGCTGCAAGTGGCAGCGGTTGCAATCTAAACGACATTGGCATGCTCGACAGAAAGGTTTGTTAGGATCATCCTCACATCGTGTAAGCCAGGGGCTAAAAATATTTAACCATTTCGTGCAGAACTTCTGTGCATATTTAGGTTTATTCTGAGATGTCTGCTGCTCCTTCTTTATGGACTTGCTTTTCTTTTTTGGTTCTTTCCTATCAACAAACACAAAATGTTATAGGGAATTCACGAGTTCCACATTTAAGATTAGGAAGAGATGTTGTAACTTACCATTCTAAATCGGAGGAATCGTCAGAAAAACTCATATCGCAAATAATAAGTCAAAGTGCAATGTTTTTTACTTAATTTTTTCTGCAATTTTTGTTCAGAAGTTTTATTTTTGGGAATTTACTGGACAGAATAATCTGTGAGCGTCTTTCACTACGGCCTTACCAGAGCTGCCAGACTCATAAAGTATTTTTAAACAAACTTTTGACATTTAATGGGTGACCCATATGCATTTTATCACAGAAATCACTCTGCTTTGGGCACTCGCACTGTCAATGGACATTTCATCGCATACCATTTCAGTGCGAATATGTTGAAATTTTGTTTGTAAATTCTATTTTTTTCTTGCAAACCGTTTCTCTGAACCACACAAAAATTATTTAGTGCAGATAAGTCAACTTTCAAACACGTCAAGTCTGCCCGTTCGTAGCGGAAGTAAGTTAAAAGAACCAAGAACATGAATTCATTAAAAACTGACGCGCGTGGAAAACACCATAGAGGATGCGAAAAAATTGCTTAGACTGGGTTCAAACAGAGAAACTTTTGTTGTCCATTTGCGCAATTTCTCTTTTGGAGTTGCCCTTCGCGTTCACACAGAGCAATTCTTTTGTACACAATTGATGTTGTCAGATGTGAACGGCCTAGGTTCAGTCAGAGAAACTTTTGTCGCGGTAACTCGCTACTTGCGGGAGCGGGAGTAACGAGGAAGGGGGAAGAGAGCCGAGTTGCTCGTGTTTAGGCAACACGCGTTGTGCTCTCGATCGTCTGAGTACTTCCAGTTGGCCATTCACAGCTGACAACAACAATTGTGTACAAAAGAAATGTTCTGTGTTTACGCGAAGGGCAACTCCAAAAAAAAAAAAATTGCCGAAAATGGGAAATGGGACTGTGTGAGTCCAGTCATAGAATCACTCAGATGAGCGAGAGCACAAAGCGTGCAACCCGAGCACGAGCAACTCGGTGCCCTTCCCCCTTCCTCGTCACTCTCTCTCCCTAAGTAACGAGTTGCCGCGACAAAAGTTACTCTGAATGAACCTAGACTTATACCATGTTCGGACCGACAACGAAAACACTTTGAAAACAAATTTTGGGAGGTGGACAGTAAACTGTTCGTACCGCCTTTTAGTGTTTCCGTTGACATTTCCTTCATCCTTTGATAACAGTTTTGCTACGAAAAAACATAACCAAAATGTTTTTCTTTCATTTTCTTATTAGGGACCTTCATCAAAAGTGATAAACTCTTGACAAATTTGACGTAACAAAAGCACCAAGAACTAAACTCTAAAACCTTTGCGTTTTCAATAAAGAAAAGCACTAAATTTAGTGCGAAAAGCACCAAGTTGGCAAAAGTGCTAACCACATAAGATATATAATCAACCATTTTATTCAATTATTTACCAAGATAAGTTCTTGTAAGAAAGTGGATAAACTGATACATTTAAGCATTTAATCACATTATCACTTTAGATGACGACCCTTATAAAAGCCAAAAATCAACGACAAAATATACTCATCCTTCAATAAATTAAAGCCACCTGGTCATACTATCCGAATAACAAAATAAAGCATGAAAGAGAAATGATAAACCGAACAGAAGTGGGATAAGCAAATAAAAACTGGAAAAGAATTTAAGTCGTCATCATTAGTCAATTCGGAAACTGCAGAAAGACTTATTAAAATAATTTGTTGCAAATTATATACATACATTTGCCTATTTGCTTGAAATAAAGAGCTGCAATGTCCAAAATACTTGCTGTGCCACCTAAAAAGCCTGCGGAGGTTGAAATTGTTAAGCCGCTCAACAATCTGATCCAAAGTACATACAGTGGTGCTAGTGCAGAGGAAAAGGCCAAGTACTCTGAAGCTGTAAACGAGTTCTCAAAGCAGCGCAACACGGCTATATGGAAGTTCTTCGAAAAATATGAATCCTCACTAGAAGTGGTCTATGCGTAAGTATCTAATTAAAATTCCAGTAATCAAAGTGCCTGCATACATTGATTTTATGCCTACATATGTGTGTACATATTAACATACTGAAAAATGTATGTGTAGTCTTGGGAATTAACAGATACGACCATAACACAAATGAGTCATGAATTCTTTTATAACTTTAATCAAGTAATACCCTCTACTCGAAGGTACGGAAAGTACAATGAACCAATTTGATTTTCATAGTGTGTATATAGTTATATGTTTATGTTTGTTTGTAAAGTGATTATCAGGATGAAAGCAATATTACTTTCCTTGTGTTTCGTTTATCTTTTAATAGCTATTACGATCAAATCTGCGCTTTGGAAACCAAAATTCCTGTAAATGAGCTTCAAATTCCTTTTAAATGGAAGGATGCATTCGACAAGGGATCAATTTTTGGAGGTCGCATTAGTTTAAGTAAGCATATTCTTGCATCTACATATAATGCATGACACAATTGAAATTTTATTGAAATCCATAGCTCACACATCACTGCTATACGAAAAGGTGTGCGTGCTATTCAATATTGCTTCTCTGCAAAGCAATGTGGCGGCATCTCAAGCTTTGGATAGCGATGAAGGTTTAAAGATTGCTTTGAAGCTGCTGCAGCAAAGTGCTGGTATATTCCAGTACCTCAAAGGTGCTACACCGGCAGCTATACCATCAGAACCTACTCCTGATTTGAGCCAGGATACCTTGATTTGCTTACAAGCATTGATGGTAGCGCAGGCACAAGAAGTTTTCATTTTAAAGGCTATAAAAGGTTTGGAACTTACATAGATTTGTATAAAATGTATGTTTGCATATTGTATTATATGTATATTTTTTAGACAATATGAAAGATCAAATTATAGCTAAACTGTGTTGCCAATGCGAGGAGTTCTACGCCGACGTATTGCGGGCAATGCAAAAAGAAAGCGTTCGTAACATTTGGGAAAAGGAATGGATACCAGCCATTGCCGGAAAACAGGCAGGTTTTCACGCTCTAACACAACTATATCAAAGTTTAGCATGCCGTGCCGCGAAGAAGATAGGTGAGGAAATTGCACGATTGCGATCGGCTGTTGAACTATTTAGAGCAGCGCAAACACGTTCGGGCAATTCAACCTATCTTGATGAATTTTTTACACGTGCCAAGCGCAATTTAGAAGAATCAACTAAAGATAATGAGTTCATCTATAATGAAATAATACCCGAAGTTAGTTCTTTGCCATCACCCGGAAAAGCTCAGCTGGCCAAGGCTTTGCCCTTGAACTCACCTTTGGCAAGTAATTTTAAGGACATCTTCTCGGAATTAATACCAGTCGAGTTACACCGGGCTTTGACCGCATCTGATATGCGTAAAAATGAAATTGTGAATGGAGAGATAATGAAACTTCGGGAGGCAACGCAGACTCTAAACGGCGTGTTGGCTAGCTTAAATTTACCGGCTGCTGTTGAAACGACAGATGCAGGTAGCGGTTTGCCACCATCACTTCGCGAAAAAGCTGTCGATGTACGTAACAAGGGTGGTATTGAGAGTATAAATACTTATCTTAAAGAGCTGCCAGAGTTGTTGCAGCGTAATCGTGAAATATTGGATGAAACAGAGCGTATATTAGATGAAGAACGTGACTCTGATAATCAATTGAGAAATCAGTTCAAACAGAAATGGACTCGCATACCATCTGATAAGCTTACTGAAATGTTCCGTACTAACGCAAAGAAATATCGTGAAGTAATCACAAACGCGATTGAGGCAGACAAGATTGTGAGACAAAAGTTTGAGAAAAATCAAAAAGTAAGTAAAATTTGTAATGGAAGCATATTCAGCCAGGTAAATCATGGATTTAACTGATTTTTAAATAGTTTTTGTTAGCTAATAACAACTTAAGACACATAGAAACTATTTCTTACCCCACTCTTGCTTGCTTATTAATTTTGTATATGTTTGTATTATCAACCATATTTTTTTAGGGTATTGAATTGCTTTCTATGGCTCCGGAGCAAATACAAGAAGCAGTCCCAGCTGCTGGAGGTAACATCGATCCAAATTGTCCAAGTGTTCAAAAATTGAAAAGTCTTATGGAGGCTGTAGAAACTATCAAAGCAGAACGCGATGCAATTGAATTAGAGTTGAAATCGGCTACTTTCAATATGAAAGACGAGTTTTTAACGGCACTACAAAAAGATGGTGCTATAGATGAGCCAGCAATTTCGTTATCTCAAATTGGAAGAGTTTTGAGTCCACTTCAGTCGCAAGTAAAGGAGAGTGTAGAGCGTCAAGTGACACTCGTTAGTGACATTCAGCAATCTCACGAGCAGTTCGTTACCGAAACTGGAAGTTGCGGCAGCTCGCGTGATAAACTTTATCAAGAATTGGCCACCGCTTATGATAGTTTTATCGAGTTGCTGGGAAATTTGAAAGAAGGCACTAAATTTTATAATGATTTAACAGAACTTTTGGTCGTATTCCAAAATAAAATATCAGATTTTTGTTTTGCTCGTAAAACGGAAAAAGAAGAACTTCTTAAGGATTTGACAACAGAGTCAAGCCGCCCTGCAATTGGTCCGACACCGACTTTACCCTCACACTATGCATCTACATCAGGCAGTGGTATACGAATTTGTTTCTATTCCTTTGTATAAATCTAATAAAATTTATTTTCAGATGTAAGTCCATCCAGTTCAGCGTCCTCAGTTCCGGATGCACCGGTATCCTCGAGCGGAAATGTTCCTTATCCGCATCAAATGCAAGGCATGCCGATGCCATATGGCGCCACACCGGGCGTCCCTTATCCAACATACGTTCCACCACCACCAATGCCACAGGGATTTAATCCATATGCAACGCTGCCTTATCCAGGAAGTACGCCAAATTCTTAACAATATTTGCCATATGATATTCGTTAAATATATGACTTCATATTTTTTCTCCTTACTTAGACCCTTATCAATACAGTGGATTTCCGCAAGGGCCTCAGCCGGGCCACTATGGAACTTATCCGGGAAGTTTTGCACATCAGCAGGGAGGTTATCCAAATCAAAAGCCACCAGGCTGGTAAAATTCTTTCTAAATCTCTTCCAGAGTTGCAATCTCTTCTTATATTATTCGTCATTGTTTTAATTTCCACTTCGAAGGAATGGAAATTGATTTTATAATTGTAAAGTTTTGCACTTGAATTCTCATATCGAAAATATTTTTGCTTTCAGTATAAATTATTTAGTATTATTATCCAAACGCAATGCAACAATAATATATACTCATAGATACACATAAACATACATATGCATAAAAATTTATGTATATAAATATATGGACTTTTGAAAATTATAAAAAATAAATTAAAACATCATGTTAATCTTTAAACAGTCCTGCTTGTTTTACCGATAATGATATAAAACAGTAGTTGTTCACAATTTATAACGTTTCAGAAACTCGCTCTTAATATTTTCTATTACGAGAGGATCGCAAACACTGTTTATTAATGCTTTTTTAATGTGACTTAAAATATTAGGAACTGCAGTTGTTTCTTTTCCCGATTTAAGCCGCTGACTATTTTTATCAAGCAAACTCTCATACTCTTCTTTGGGCATAAGTGTAAGACATTCCACCATTCCTTTCGGTAGTTCTTTTACCAGTTCTTGCCACTCATTTTCATCTAAGCACTGGTAACGGCATCGTGTAACATTGAGTCGTTGGGATTTTGGTTTCGGACAATAAGGTTTAGAGTTTTCATACAAATAATTTAAAATTTCAAAGATTTCTGGATCACCTTGTATTTCATCTACCTGAAAATAGAAGTTTTTATCAGGTTTTTTTTGCAAGAGTTTATGAACTAACTCACTTGATTGGGATTAAGTATTAAGTTTTGCTCGTGTTTACTGCTGCAGAGCACAAAACGCTCAACTAAAATCTTAACAATACATTCTTTCAATTGATCTTCTATGTCATTCTCCAAAGGGATCCAATAGTTAATGCTCAATGAGACGTCCATGGCCTCTACATAATGCCACCAGTGTTTGGGTACAATGAGCACATCATTTGGATTTAATATACATCTGTAAGCCGAATTATGGAAATGAGATAACTGCTGTAGTTCTTCAGCATTTGGTGCAAAAATGTTTTCCTCACAATAAATGCTAGACTCCTCATATGGTATTCGCGTGCAAGTTAGCGGTGTTTTTGGAGGGTAAAGCAGCCATGACTTTCTGTCTTGAAAATTGAACTTCTATTAATTTTTCTTGTATATTCATATGTATGCACATTAGGTATATGTTGCACTCAAATTATCCCCATTATTTATGTATATTTTGCACCTACCTTCCATAAACTTGCACTACAATGTTGCATCCGTAGGTGTCGTAGTGGCATGGCGTGTTCGTTTGTGCTGAGCACAGCCAATAGTTGCATTCAGCCGTAGCTTCGCTAAAACCTAACTTTGAAAAATCAATTCCATCTTGAAGTAGAGTTGGTAAATTCTTTACTCTCTTATAGTTCAGACCAATCCAACATTCATCTGATTTTGTTGTTTTTTGTTTTTCTAAAAACTCTTTTAATGTCATATGAATGGATTTTCTGTTCCGTTCCCAATGCGGCGTTGGATTGCCTCGGCTGTAGGCCATTATCTCAAATTCAATAGGCGAATTAACCTCGTCGTCGTGTTGTGAACACCAACCTTCTATGGTTTGATCAAAACATTTCCAGTTCATTTTAAAATTACGTAGCACAAGCGGTTTCCGGGCATTCAAAATCACTGTACGCAATTTTAGTGCTTCCGCATCGAAATTTGGAGAAACTGCCGCCATTTCGAGAGCTGATTAGAAATTTTAAGAACTTATAAACGCTACGACTGCAACAAGTTATAAGTATACAAATTTATTTATGTACCTACATACATATGTATGTCGGTAAATATGTACAAAAAGGCCATTTAATTGAATTAAATATAAATTCTTATTCAGACTATTTTCTTGATGTGAATGTTGTGCAAAGCGGACATAATTATTTTCGCTTTTTTATGTCCAAATTCGTAGTATTACCAGATTGCAAAAATCGCGTCAAGAAAATCCGCGAAAAGTGACTTCATTAAAAAGATGTTCTGCAGCTCATTATGCTTTATAATTAATTTTTTTTAAATCGTTAATCCTTATTAGTCCTTATAATGTTGCAATTCTGTAAAGGTTGGAGCTTGCCAGAATGTTTTAAATTTTATGGATGGCAACACAGGTTTAATAGTTCCTTTTTCTTTTGCGCATGTTTGCTTCACCACACTGGTACAACATTCTGCTACAACAACAAATTTGAAAATCATCTGTTGATAAGCAGAAGAACAGCTGATTGTATTGATACGATGTACAGGACCGCTATTTTTTAGTTGCTATAATCCGAAAATTTCCCATCCCGTAGGGTCTGGGTTCAAGCACGGTTCAACCCATCCTAAAAAGAAAAAACCTCCGAGGGTATTTCTGTCATGAAAAACAGCTTCTCATAAAAATAATACAATCGCCGTTCGAAGTCGGTTTAAACCGGAGGTCCCTCCTCCTTGTGTGACAACATCAAGGAGCACGCCACAAATCGGAGGAGAGGCTCGGCCAAATGCTAAAGTATGTGTACGCCCCAATCCATTATTAATCCCGAAATTTGTAAATGCATAGGCATTTGGTATACATACATACATACATATACATATGTATGTATATGTACATTCAGCTGCGGTCAATAAGATTGTAGCAAAATTCAAAATGATATTCTTTGCAACTTACATATGTTTATTTATTTATTTGTAATAATTTTCGTTTAAAATATAGTTCGACCTATAACAGGAACTACATAAATAAAAGTTTTAAAGCTTGCACGAGTTCACAAAAATTAATCAAACTTAAAAAAAATGTCACAACATTTAAAATATTTTTTAGGATTTTTAGAAAAGTTTCGAGTATGCATGCAGTAGCCCATTCAATTTTAGTCCCTGAAAATTACCGTTGATTTTTTAGAAATTTTTTAGTCAAGGGTGTTGAGTATTTTTTTCCATTAATATAACGTATGAACTAGATTTGGGCAATTTAGTTCTTTTGAGTGAACCGTTCAGTTGCAGTTCGCTCAACTTAGTGAACTAGTTCTTTAATTCATTCAGTTCATTTAGTTCAATTGACGAAATATCATATTATCATATATTAGCCATTATTTTTTAAGTCGGACGGATTTCGTAAAAAAAATATGTCATGGCTCCGATTCGCTTAAAATTTTTTTATGGGTACTATACATGAAATAAGCTAACACGTCTTCGAGGATTTTTTTTTAATTTTTTTTTCGGAGATATGATCTGTCTGTAATCATGTACTTCTTCAAATCGTTATATCTCGGGTTCTGCTCATCGTACAGGCTTCTTACGTCGTTTCAAAGCCAAAGAAACGGGATTAACAATCCTATACATTCCTATACCTATATATGTAACTGCTGAACTTTTTGAAGTTGATTTGTATAGTGAAGACCAGTAAATTAAGGATTTAAAATTATACCATCGTAATCCTTTTTTAATTTTCTATGAAAAACGTGGGTAAAAAATATGGGGGTTTTTTAAGAACCATTTTTAAAATATTTTTCTTTGTGACGAGATGGTTTCTTTTGTGAGAATCAAAAAGTTTTTGTTATTTATTTTCGAAAATTTATGATGAGATATGTTTAGTAAGGTGTAAAGCATCGGGTTTTTGAAAAAAGTTAAATTTTATTGCGGATTCCGACAGAATACCTATCCAGAAATAATATTAATATGGCAAGATTTTTCTGTAAGGATATTCTGGCGAAATCCACAATAAATTTATGACCTTTGGTTTTAATATAGCCACGCTCATTTCTAGAATATTCTTGAATTGAAAAAGTTGTGGAACCAAGGTGGTTAACGAAGCGATATTCTGCCGAACTCCGCAATAAAATCTGCGTTTTGCTAACTTTAGGCCTGAAAAACAAAACCTTTGGTAATTTGATGCACAAAATACTTTTAGAAACATAAAAAAACGCACATAAAATTTTTGTAGTCTTTTTCAATCGACGGCATACATTTGCAGTAATTATTGTTAATACACAAAAATATTTAGTACATACATCGTTTCAAACATTTACAGAGTTTTCGTTTCAAAGAAGAAGTATGGGTATCAAATTAAAGAGAAAATTCTGTAGAATATAGGCAAAGGTTTTGGTGCTTAATGCCTGGTTAGTATTGAAAATGTCTTTATAAAATTTTATCCTTGAAATTTCGCAATATTTGTTTTTGAAAAAAAGTAATATATCAATGACTTATATAAACTCGATATCATCCTCGAATTTCATCCTCCTAGCTTTATCAACTTAAAAAAATTACCTGTTTGTCCTTGTGAATCCCAAAAATGTTAATATTTTTTAAATAATTTTTTAACTAAAGAAATTTCTTCTTTCATTTGGTACCCATATTTTATTTCTACATAGCATTGCATTTTTTAAATAATTTTTGAAATTCATCATGTCTTTGGCGTTACAAAGTCCTTTAAAATAAATCCTGACGCCAGAGAGAAAAAATAAAAACGCCACTTTAAATAAAAAATTAGATTTCAAACCCATTTATTTATTATTTATTTTATAGTAGGAGAGCTTCTCAAACAATATATAAGCAGTTTTTTTCGATTTAAGTTGTTGAAAAGTAATGAATATCTAAATCCCGGGATCCCGAGATTTTTTTACGAAATTATGGATGCGTATCGAAACCAATCTATATATATATCGTCGTTTAAAGTACAAGACCGCGTATCGTCATTCTGCAAAACCGCGTAACCGACATCTGCTGCCAAAAATTGGATTTGCTCACACAATCTCTTAGCTCAATCCTTACCTGTAATATACTAGCCAGAAATGCGATTGCTTGTGCTTGCTGATTGTGATTTAGACAACGATATGTTTGTATGTATGTATGTAGAATTCATTCCAGCAGAATACTCGTATTATAATGCCTACAGTTTTCTTCGAATTTGTTGCTCCAGGAAGTATTCTCTGCAATGCGAAACACTAGGATCTCACCACTGCGCTTGCTATCAATTAAAAATGCATTTTGTAATTTTATTTATTTTGATTTATGTATTTGCGATACTCTTTCGTTATACATATGTATGTATGTATACTACTAAGTTTATTTTGTATTAAAAGATTTACTTACAGATGTACGTATAATTACCATTATTTTAAAATGCCATTGTAGAAGCTTACAAAACTGTAATACTTGTTCTTCAGTGACATGCCCGGAAACGTACAATATGTACATATGTAAATATGTATGGGGTTTTCCCTAAAGTGTCGTAAGCGTCGCAATGTTGTTAGTTAAATAAAGAGATACATAGTTAGTTGTGGTTTCAAGTCTTCTAAATCGCAAACAAGTTAACGACATAAGAAAAGACTAGATATCGTCACCTGAAATGGAAAAAGTTGTGACTAATATTTTTTTTTATAAAACGATGTAGGGAGTGAAAAGTGAATTTTGAATTTTTTCGAAGTTACGAATTTTGCATTTCAAGTGACGATATGCATACACATGTGTATGTACTCAGCACATATTTCTGCAACTAATATTAGACTACAGAAATAGTTTCTCGGGTGTTTACGTACAAAATATAATTTTATAGTAAATCGCCTAAGCAGTTAGATTGACAGGTAAACAATTTGCTTTACAGGAATGCCTGATATAAAATTTTAGTAGTTTTTAACCCGTTTTAAGATATAAAGTTAGATAGTTAGTTATTTGGGCATAAGTTATGTTTTCTACATTTGGCGAAATTCACGAAACCTTTGACTTTTTTGATACTCGCTTGTCTACTCTACTACACATGAAAAAACAATGAAATGCATGCGGACATTTTTGTGTCGGATACACGACTATCCGGATATCCATAAAGACGAAAGTTGATAGAAAGTCTCTGGAAAGCTTTGAAAAATTACGAATCAAACATTTTTGAGGTCTACGTGAGTGACAAGTACGCTGATTTTCCACGAGATATTAACAGTTCCAAACAGTTTTTATATATTATACATAAATAAATAACGGAGAAAACAAATGCGATAAATTGAATTAAAAAGTCGCTAATCTTATATTTTCATTTTTTAAATTAATAAAAAAAACACATTCTAGCGATGAATTTAACTTTTTGCGGCATAACTAAAAACGATTACCGCAGTTGCAATTTAAAAATGTCTAAGTAGCTGCCTATAAAGGTTAAAAATCTGTGCTTCAAAATTTCAAACTGAATTTTATTTTTATCAAATGTTTCGTGGATTTCCCCATATGTACATATATATATACATAGTAGTTACTTTATTATGTTAATCGAGTAAGCTTTAAAGTCAAATTAATTTTTAGTTTTCATATTTATATTTAAAACAAACAAAGAAACTGTATATTTCCCGCTTAATAAAACAAAGAATTAGACTAACAGGACAATTCTGGCTAAAATAGAAAAAAGTCTTTCGTAAGGCAAATGAAAGACAGATGGCAAGATCCTAGTTCGAAAGAGAAGTCTTAGAAAAAAAGATCCGAATTCCACCGGTTTTTTTTTAAGTAAATTTTTTTTTCATTCAATTTCAAATTTTATTCAATTAAAAAAACATTTTTTTTATTTTGTCTATTTAAATTTTTTTATTTAAATATGCTTTTTTTTATTTTTGATTGTTTTGAAAATAAAAATATACATATATTTTTTTAATAAAAAAAAATATTGTTAAAAGGCGAACAGCGTTAGCAGATTAGCAGACTAATTGTAGTCCCTCGAAAGACAGTAAGATAGTTGCCAGAATAGACAACTGTGGTGAGGTGAAAGACAGTTGCCAGAATTGCCCTGTAATTTGCATACATTTTATAAGCAAAGTTGTCACCAAAGTATCAGCTAGGGCCAGTCTTTTATAGTTTCATTTAAAATTTAAGAAAAATGAAAATAAACACTTAAATACAACATACTTACGTACATAGTTATGTATATTTTAAAGCAGTATGAATTAAATATATGAAATAATTAATTGCGCAATTGGAAGACTTCTGATACATAAAATTTGTTAATTGTCGGTTTAAAATTTTTGAGAATATGCCTTCAGTAAATTGTAGAACATATTCCCTATAAAAGTAAATACTCAAATACATATGTATGTATGCAAAGAAAGAAACGCGAACTCAATAAAAAATAATACACAACACAAAATTTTTATGCCGAGTTATTATTAGAGCTCTTGTAAAAAATATACTATCCGGCTATTCGGTTAGTCGAATAGTCTGTTGGAAACTTTTTTGTCGGTTGATACTCGATTCGATTAACCGCTCAATTTCGACTAACCGCTCGCCATCGAGGAGCCTGAAAATATACCAATCAAATTTATTCGAATCAAATTATTGGTATTGGGACTGCTGGGTTTTGTCAGTAAGCATAGGTATTTTATGTAAAAAAATAAAAATTAACCAATATCTTTTAAAATAAACAACTGGTCGAAAAATCGAAAATATACGGTTAGTCGATTAGTTGCTTGTGAGCGGTTAGTTGAAAAGTCAAAACGAAACGGTTAGTCGATTAAGTGAAGTCGACTATTTTTTGAAACAAAGTTTGCCAATTGATTAACCGATTAGTCGATTAACACGAGCTCTAGTTATTATGCGAAATCTTGTCTGAATAACTTTTCATTTAGCGATTTTGTATACATACAAATTTATACATAAGTATGTTTGCAAATACATTAGACTGTACCAGAAAAAAAGCTCGCCATACACCTTCGAATTTAAAGTATGTTTGCAAGGAAATTTCATACTTTTTTTTTGTCATATTTTCGGCATTTACTTTCAGATCTTAAGTGCACCGTTCTAGTATTTACTTACTCACCAGCACTCAGTGACAGCGCGCCAACGAACCACCTTAATGACAGTAAATTTTAGATCACCAAAAACGATTCAACTTTTGTTAAGGAAGTATTGCCGCACTATATGTAACAAAATGTAAGAATGCGACTGCGAGGTTTGGCATTTTTTTTTAAACTTAGTTGCAAAAATACTTTACTGGAACAGTCTAATGTACATACCTATGCATATTTTAAATGAATGGTTTTTATTTTTACTTAAAATATAAATGTGCAAGCCTAACAACTACATATCGCACATCTAGATCTAAAGTGCGATTAACTCGAAAAAAATTTTGGGCAATTTTTTTTTTTTTTGCATAAATCAATTCATAGGACTTACATCCAATTAATGGAAACATTTTTTTGTTTTTGTTTTTTTTTTTGTATTAATTGCATTGAATCTGTATCTACGATCCCCAAGCAGTTAAATTTCCCTCTCTGAATTTTGAGTTAGCTCACTTTAGATTTAGCTGTGCGATATGTACGATCATTTGGCAGTGAGCCAAAGTTAAGTTAGAATTACAATTATTGTTGTTATTTTTTATTGCATAGGTTTAAAGCCACTTAATTTAGCTTTAATAGTAAATAATGTAATGTAAGTCTCTTTCTTATTTTAAATCTTATGAAGTTGACCAGGATTTTCTTTTTAAGATTCATTAGAAAATATCGTAAAGTAATAAAAAAACATATGTACGTACGTATACATAAATATGCAGTTATTTTAATAGTAGAATTATGAACGTTTTCATGGCACAATATTCTTATAATGAATATTTTTCTTCTGATTTTCCTTTATGACATAGAAGCCCTTCGGTTTGCCATTGCCTGAAAAATATCGATTAAAACTATTTCTATTGACTGCCGCATTTGGCGCATAATATGAAGGTGACTTATGATTTAAAGATTTTTTGTAATTGGATTTATAGGATTTCTCAATACTGTCATTTTCCCATGGTTTTTGAAAGTTGGCAAATTTTTTAAAATTGATAATATATTTCTTGCCATTGACATCAGTATGTGGCAGTGTTTGTTTGCTTCCGAGTATTTTCTGTAGAACTGGCAAATTCCAGTGGTATATGCGATCCGGCTTGCCATTTGAGCTAAATGGGAAGGTGGAGACCTGTAGAAGGAGAAAATTTAAAGAACATTTGTTGTAAGTATATCGAGCCCTAATCGCCAAAATATCGTAAGCGACATTTTTTTCAAAATTTTCTTTTTGATGCAGAAATGTATCTAGATGCTCTAGGAATATTTCTGCATCAAAAAGAAAATTTTGAAAAAATGTCGCTTACGTATTTTGGCGGTTAGCGCTCGATATGTAGACTGAGGACGAAACAAATACGAAAATATTTAGCAACTTTATAGATGGTTAGTTAAATTTATATATTAGGGTGGTCCAAAGGTGCATAATAATAATATAGTAAAGTCCGAATTTTAATTCTCTTACCCCTAGAATTTTCCTATATCGAAAAATATGCCGCTCTTTTTATTTTCCATGTATTTTATATGTCAAAAAAACATTTTCAAGTACATATATGGTATAGAATTCTTCTGTCTATCTTCTAATTGTGAGAGCATTGAAACTCCGACATTACTTTTTTTTTGGACCAACCAAATGCATATATAAACGTACGAGCAGCCGGTGCTTACGATTAATTGGAATTTAGGTTAATTTATCATATATTATTTACCTTTTGTGAGTTCGTTTTGATGTCACTGATGCTATTAGCTTCAGCTTTTGGATTGGTGTAATATACGAAATTCGGTGGCAGCTTTATAATAAACATATGTGAATCATCTGGAGATGTGTGACGTCTTGATTCCACAGCCAGTCGTTTTCTATGATGACTGTTAGGTGCCTTCACTTTAATGAATCCCAATTTACTATTTAAATAAAAATTTATAACAAAATACTACAAGTTTAAGCAAGTTCTTTAATCAAAAATAAAAAAATGAAACCTTCCACAATGCATCGATCAATTTAAGAATTGGAGCATAAACTGGACACCTAATTTTTTTTTTAAATGAAAAAAAGTAAATTCTATCGACATAAAAAAATGGTAGCCAAATTTTACCAATATTTTGGTATTTATTTATATTTGGTCCTCCCTAAATGAATGCAATTGCTTTCATTCCCATCACTTTTTGATTGTTGCATTGTGTTATTTATTTATTTACACAGTGTAAAATGAAAATACATGGACAGAAAAGTAAGATGAAATAAAAAAGTATTAAATCGATATGATTTCTAAACAAACTAATTAAATGGAATTATTACAAAAGATAAGGCCTGATTCCGCTACCTCATGTAAATAATCCACACTAATGTTCTTGCCATTGCCGCGAAGGCATAGCGAATTACAACTTTATGAACAGATTTCAAACGATTAATAGGGGTTATAATATTCTACACATGGCTATATATATTGAATATATCGTAAAGGAAATATAAACTTACTTAAGCATTTTCTTATTTAAAGTGTGCGAATTTTTTGTCAATGGTTTGTAAGTATCAAAATTTCTCCTTTCTATTGTGTCAGTGGGAAAGTGTCGCTCTATTGGCTCGTGTTCATAGCGGTGCGACGATCCTTTCTTCTGAATTTTTTTATAATTTTCTCTTTGCATAATGCTTCTATCCTTCGCCATCCAATTTTTAATGGAATACGTTTTTGGTCGTAATAAGCTTGTATCCTCCTTCTCATTATCGTCCATTCCCGTAGAGCACTGAGCGAAATTGTTGAAGAATGCTAGACAGCATAAGCTAAAATAGAGAAATTGTTATATGTATGTACATCATAATTTAATAAACTTGTTTGAACTAAATACATATCGATGGCCCTCTGCAATAAAGACTCAAATCAAAATTAAAAAAAATAAAAACCATGTACCTGCCTTACTAAAGTAAGTAGTGAGGATTAGACGTGAATTAGACAAGGATTAAAGACAGAGATTTTAAGCAAATCAAAGAAAAATCTTGGTTGCAAAAATAAATTTTTTATTCATATGGGTTAATTAATGCCAAATTGACCAATGATTGGAATAGAAAATTTTTGATGTGGAATTTCGGTCAGAACTTTTCTTTTATCATATAACGAAATTTCCGAATTTCGAGGGTTTATTTTTGAATATCTCAAAAATATTATAGTTACAAAAATTGTTCTGGTCTCGTTTTAAAGGTGGTATTTGTGGCTATATAAAATATTCTTGAAAACAATTTGAAAAAAATTACAGAATTTTGAAATTCAAGATAACTTAGAAGCAATTTTGGGCATAGTTTTTTTTATACAATACATATGTACCGCTAACTGATCTTAAGAGATTCTGAAATTTCCAACATGGTACTTTTTTAAGATATTTATCTTAGAAATTCTAAGTTTTTTTTGCAAAATCTAAATTAAAAATAAATTTCAATTGAATACAATTTTTTTCATAATTTTAAAACTGATATCTTAAAAACCACTTTTTGAAAATTTTAGAATCTTTTAAAATCATTTGGAGGTATTGTATAAAAAAAAAATTTGTGGAAACTTTTATAAGTTTCTAATTATCGGGCCACCAGTGTAGGTATATTTTTACTTTATAGCGCTAAATATCATTTTTAAAACCAGACCAGAACAATTTTTGTAACCATACATATATATATATTCGTTTTTGAGATATTTAAAAAATAAACTTTCAACATATCGTCGCCTGGGTAAAAGATTGTCGTAAGCGTCATTTGTACGTGCGTAACATACGACAATCTTTTACCCAGGCGACGATATGGGAATTTGTGAAATTAAGAATTTTGGATTAAGGGAAAAAAAATTAATTTTGAATTTTGAATTTTTTGAAGTGAATTTTCCTTCGGCAGAACGTCGTTATATGATAAAAAAAAGTGCCGACCAAAATTCATCCAAATCATAAAATGGACGATTCCAACCATTGGCCGATTTGACATATGTATGTACCACTTCTTATTCGGGTATTCACTCTCACATTCCAGAATGATAAATAGTATAATTACACTGATGTACAAAAATGACCTTAATAAAAGTTAAATGAAATTGAAAGGGTTATTTTGTATCTACTAAGTCTAATTCAATGACCCTGATTTTTTTGCAACAGCATTTAAGTAAAATTTAATGAAATTCGCTTGAAAACAGTATTTAATGAAAAAAATAAATAATCTTTTAATTTTTTTTTTAGGATTTTGGGGAATATTTTGCATCAAGTATATCTCTTTTTAGTGTCCAACAGTAGTCAGCTAATATATTCGGACTCCATTTTCCCTGGTAACATTTTTTCTATGTTAAATATATCCTGATGGAACCCTTCGCCGTCTTCGTCGCGCTAACGCCACCCAAATTTTCAGGAAAGAATTTAAATGTGAGTGTAAGAAGTTTATTTATCTTGAGCGACATATTGCATCCCATTTTCGTGTAGGCTGTTAAAAAGTTGCTGACCAACTCTGGCTTTCCGCTTTGTGGTTTCCAAAAAAGTTACGAACCAAATTTCGAAAACATGTCCATGCGGATTTTTCGATCGGATAAAGTTTTTCTTCAAACTGTTCATCAGCCAATAGGTATCTAATATTCGGCCCTACAAATTTCCCACTTTTATTTTGGCATTGATTTTTCGGAATTTCTGTTTTTGTTTTTTTTTTTACTACGACACTAACTTTTAACAGTTAGTTGACCGCAAATATAACAAAAGTTATCAGGATGATTTACATACACACTCAGGGCATCCTCTTACGATGTGTAGAAACAACAATCACAAAAAATACCGTTTTAATGTCAATAATAATTTAACGCTAATTTGTCAGGAGCACACTTTGGTAAACAAAATACGCGTAATCACTTCATTTAATTTTAAAGGAAAACTGAGGGAGATTGAATAAAACTAAGTATGAGGTTTATATATGGTTTATAAAAAAAAAAACAATTTAGTTTTGTTTAGCAAACTCACTGTTTATCAGAGTTACTGTTAGTAACCTCAAAATCAGCCTCATTCTATTGTAACCGAATGACAAAACAATAGGTAAGATATCGAAGAAATATACATACAAGGAAATGAAGCGATAATAGCTTTAAACCTAAATTATGTATGCAAATTACGCTAGTTAATCGATTTGATGTTAAATGACGTGATTCCAGTTGGGGGTGCCTTTGGTGTACCCGCCGCCAACAAATTACCATTGAACTGATGGCACAGACCTGGCACAGACCCAACATCAAGAATACGTATGTAGATGCAATAATAAAGAAATGCCTTTCGACGTGCTCAGCATACATACATACATGTGGAATTGCATGCAATTTATGTAACTCCAGAATTGCATGTGAAAAAAAGAGTGGGAACCGCAAATAATTTAAGCAATAAGAAGAAAAGGATAGTGGAACAAAAGCAAAACAAGTTAGTCTCTATGTACCCATGTATGTAGGTACATTATGTATGTTGTTCGCTAGATGTCTAGATGTGCATACATATATGCCCGTACTTATGTACATATGTATGTAAATCGTGGAATTTGTCGGAATTAACACTGTTGTTAATTTTTTTCGTAAATTAGAGAACTTGCAATGTAAAGTAGTTACACTTCATAAATTTCCAGTTTGAGTTACATACATACATACATATATACATTTTATCTAGTAGTTAGTACTGTTGTATAAATAATGCCGCCATTTACTACGTTGGACTTTTTCATGCTAAAAAAATCGGTACTTTTCGGTACATTTTTATCCAAAGCAAAACTATAAATGTAAGTATCAGGTAATACTTTAAACGCTACTATTTAACAATATTTTGGTATATAAATAAAATATAGTTCATAAAAAATAAAAATGTTATTAATTTTAACATGAGTGTACGCAGAAGCCAATAAATAATTTTTTATCTATGACATTTTTGAATAGAAATAATGTCATGATCATTTCCATCTTCATTGTTTAAATAGTCAAAGAATTCTATACATTTCATTTTAAAATTAATTTTAATATGAAGTTCACCAAAAAAGTTTTTTAATTGGAAGCTGGTTTCTCTCTTTGCGCCAGGAAGCAAACTTCATACTTAAGATCCTCTCAGTTGCTTCCTTTGAGTGTGGCATTGAAAAAAAAACAAAATTACATATTTTTTCAAACTGTGGAAAAGTAGCACTATTTAAGGACTTCATCTATAATTCCTCATGGCTAAAATTTACATTTTTCAACTACGCAAAACTTTGAAAGGCTAAAATTTCTAAATTCTAAAAATTCGCTAAAAAGAGTATCTAACTCTATGTCTTGTATGCAAAACTCTTTTACAATGTCAGTAAATTATGAAAAAAGAATTGTAAGTTATAGCCAAAAGCCATTTGAATATTCAAATTTGTTGTTATTAAACTGAAACGTTGCTTCTGAGACTATGCTTGACCATGGAAAAGCACTATATAGTTTTTGTTTTTTGGATTACGAGAACTATAATCGTAATCATAAAAAGTACAATTACGACTACAGTAGTCGTAATCGTTAAATTTTAAAGATTACAATTTTTTAAAGCTCGTTTTTTTTATTAGGAAAAGACTTTTATTTCGGCCTTAAGAAATACTTGGCCAAATTTAAATGTTATTACTGGACTTTTAAAAACTAAAGTCGGGGTTGACCGATTATTTTATTTCAAATAAAATAAAAGTCCAAAAATAACTTTTAGCGTATTAATAGTCGGTCATAAATCATTATCACAATTTGTGAGTGTCGCGATATCAGATGCAATTTGAATACCGGACTCAATTTTCAGCTTCGATTGCTGCTGCCAAAACGCTAAACCTGATCCTACCCAAAATTTTTGTTTAAGCTTAGTTTCCAGCTCTTAAGAAAACGGTCAAGAAAAAATGATATGATTTCGGGTGTGTACCAAGGAATTTTGACATCTGATATTTCACAACCTGTAGCCTCACTCTTTCGCCAAGAAATAATGGGTCGGGCATATATTTCTGTTGTAAACATGGGTTGCCTTGTGCTCATTTTTCACAAAAAACTTTAGAAACCCGTAGTAGAAAGCGTAGCAAATTTCTTAAAAACTGCGCCTCATTTTATATGGAGTTCTTGCTTTTCTTGAGAGCTGGATACTAAGCTTAAAGCCGCACTAAAACGTTCTACAAGGCAGTTAATAAGTTCGATGATATCTTTTGCTTCTAAGTGAATGTTAAGCTTAGGTGACAGCAGACTGAGATTAAAACTTTTCAGAACATCTTTGGAATACCACGCCTTCTGTGACCATTCCAATTGAGGGTATGTATGCAGAGACTTTGTAGGTAGTATTCTTCACAGTTGTGAGATCGATGATTGTTTCGATGACTTCTCGGTTTTGGGTTTTTTTACTTCAATGTCTAAAGCAGGGATCACACGATTTGTACATTTGTGCGGATTTGTACATTTTGACGGTTACAGATGAAAGTGATCTTCTGCATGGATTTATTGATTGCTTAGTGTTGCAAAGAAAGTAGTTAAAATTTTTGATGCCTTCGGAAGGCCTATAGATTCTTTCTGCAAAACCACACTCAGACATTCAAGATTACATAGTACGGCCAGTAAATTTGACGCTTTTGTTCCAATCGTTCTACATTTCCATTCACTTATTTTTTATCAGTACTTTTACAATTTCTAGAAGGCCGACTGTCACAAGTGCGCAACCAAATCGTGTCTTTGGAACCATCGTGTTGCATACCTTTTTCCAATAAGAAGCGAGATAAAATTGTTAATTTTTGGTCTTGAAACTTGAAAAAAAAACGATGTGACT